TTACAGTCATGCCTCAATTGCGCAATGGACAGGGTGGTCACATGACATGATTTAGCTTTCATCACATCTTTTTATTATGCCTCTGTGTTCTAAATTTGACTTTAAACTAGCTCCACTTTGATTAATAACTGATCATCCCTTTCCATAAGCTGTATCATCCTGCCAGCATGAGGAACAGTTCTAGTCTTTTCAGTATGATGGCAAAAAACATTTCCACCACTTGCTAAGCCATTGCATTGTTCCCCTTCAATGAGGCTGCCTTTTTGCTCCAGGCTCTGGGGAAGCTGTCTTCCTCTTAAGCTTTTGTCTGGTTCCCCTTGTTACAGTTCATGCACACATAGAGGAAGGGACAATATGTGTAGAGGCACACTGAACAAGCCCTGATTACATCTGTGTGTCTAGCTTGATGCTACATCTCTGCCAGGCTTTAATCAAATTTGATGTGAGCCACAAAGGAAAACATTGCACTTGGATATATGGTTTAAATGACAGAAGCTTCACATTTAGCTACCTTTAAACTAAGTAGGTTGACCAATATGTTCAATCAAAAAGGAGATTATAAAATATACTAAACCATCCTGTTTATTTGTTTTCCTATTTTTATGAGGTTCTAAACTAATTAAAATAAATTACCGCAAATCTTTTTTATCAATTAATCAATAACTGTAAACCTTTTGAAATACCTTTTATGGCCGCCAAATCTGATAGTTTTATAAGGTTTCTTCCCTGGCATTCCTCTAATATCCACTAGTACAAATGATAGACAACTGGACTGACAACTCATCTGGGATAAAGGCGGGGTCACATTGAGTAAGAGGAAGAAGTTACATCAAACTGAACAGCAACAAGGTGTAAAGCATGACTCATCTCACAGGAAATAGGAGTGATAGCAGGGTTATGAATGGAAAAGTTTGGACTTAGTCTTAGTTTATTATTGGAGTCTAAGTATGAGCACTGATCTAGCTCTATTTTCTATTCGCCACAGCCTGTTTTATGTTCAATGTTTATTGTTGTTCCTAATAGTCAAGGTTTAACGTTTATACATTTAGACAGTTTGTGGGAATAGTTAATGTCTTGGTTGTTTTATTCACACTTAAGACCGAATTGTCATGATCTTGACAGTGATGTGTGTTCTCATTACTCATTTCACTCAACTGCCTCTCTCTGCCCAGCTGTCATTACTGCTCATGTGATCAATCTACTTCAGTGTCTATTTATCCAGCATTCAGACCAGTCATCAGTGCCAGATTATTTTCAAGCCTGTGGTGAGAAGTTCGCTAGCATTCCTGTATTTCTGATTACCTGATCCTGTCCCGTTCTAACTCTTGACCGCTAAGCCTTTCTGTCCCATTCTGATCTGTTTGCCTGACCTGTCTTCTGACTCCTGCTGGATCTCTGTCTGCCTGTGTACCGGACCTGGGACTGTTACCCGAATCTGATCTGGATTCCCCAGTGGCAGATCTTTGCATCTCTGATCTCCTGGCTCTGACTACTGAGCTCATCACTGACATCGGCTTTTGGTTGCCCTCTGGAAGTGGAAGACAATAATATACTTTGAAATTGTTGTTATCTATGATTTCACTCAAGACTCCCAGATGACTTGCAGAGACAAATTTTCTCTTGATAATAATAAATTCTTACTTTTTCCATTTAGTGGGGGAACAATAGTTAACATCAATGATAATTATCCTAACATCTGTTACTAGAGTCTAATGGCCAAGACAATAGCACAAAAATGTTTTACACATGAAATATCCTAAACACCAATATATAACAATCAAAGCAAATTCAATTAAGGCTTCTGCAACATGCTTCACATTGCAGGTCCTTTAAAAGGTTGCATATCGGGCAGAGTTAAATTACCTGTAGATAATGGGAAAGATTTTGCAGTTCTATCGTAGTAGAACAAAAGGCAAGGTTTCCGGGGAATTGTAAACTGCCCAAGGAGAAATGTTTGATCAATTGCTAAGAAAATAAGGTTCTTTTAATGTTGCAATAAACAAAAATATTAAAGACAAAATAAAAGATAACTTTTATTTTTGGGGAGCAGAAAGGCAGTTCAGGTTTTGTTCCACCTGTGAACCAAAAAACCTCGCATAGGAACGTGAGGCTCTCTCTAAGAGTGAGAGGAAGGTTTTAGGTGCCACCAGAAGGTACTTAATTTTACTGAGACGTTGGTAATCTAGAGTGGGTTCCCCCCCAGTTATCCAGGTTGGCACCATAGGATTGGTGTGTATCGGGCAGAGTTAAATTGCATATCGGGCAGAGTTAAATTACCTGTAGATAATGGGAAAGGTTTTGCAGTTCTATGGTAGTAGAACAAAAGGCAAGGTTCTGGGGAATTGTCAACTGCCCAAGGAGAAATTTTTGATCAAATGCTAACCCAACTGTTTTTAATATTCTTTTTTGTTTCTGCATATTTTTTATTTTATTCATTTTTTATTTTTTCCTACTTGCTTTGATTCTGTTTTATCTTCCTGTATTTTAATCATGTAAAGCACTTTGCATTGTCTTTGTACTGAATTGTGCTATACAAATAAATTTGCCTTGCCTTAAAAGGCTTTTTAAAATGTTCAGAGAGACCAACTGTGGCATTCTTAAGACATTTTTCAACTGAAAACACCATTTTCCGGAAACAAGTTGGTCCATCTGGGTCGTGAGAAGGTGACATTATGTAGATAAAGAGCACTGTGGTGGTTAAATTTTGCAACTTATCCTAAGTAGACCTAGTTGCATATTGAAATCCCCATTTTTCAAGAACAATTTGGGCAGTCTGGTTTTTGAGAAGGTACATGTTATGTAGGTAAAGAGAGCTTTTGTGGTTAAAAGGTTTCAGGGTGTTTTTTAGGTGCTGTATGCATGTAGAATTCTTTAGGCTTTATGTGTTAGAATGTCTCAGTGGTTTAGTCTTCTGGTAACCAGAGGAGGATGTAGCAGTGGTTAAGTGATCTGGTAACCAGATGAGTGAACCCAGGAAACAATTTGCCCCACATATCAAACAGTGAGGAGTTAAAACTTTTGAAATATGTTTTAAAACTAAAAACACCATGACAGAATGAATTTAAAATATGCAGACACTAAAGGGAAGCATGCATGTGTACATCCCCATTTCAGGACAAGCATCAGGGTTGTAGAAACATTATTAAAAAGATGTTTGTATCCATTATTGAAATTTGAGACTTTGGCCAATGAGAATAGCAGGACATCTGTGTTAAATTATGACCTGGATGTGTGAATAGAGTTCTGCAACTTAAGTTTTAAGCACTAAAGGCATGTTTAAGTTTGGGTAGTGTTAAAATGTAAGTACTATGTTGTCATAATTTGTGTCAACACTTATTTAGATGATACAAAAAAAAAAAAAAAGAGATCCCAGAATTAGCAATTGAATAACACCTTTGAATAGCAATCTACAATAAGCATCCTAAAAAAAAAAAAAAAAAAAAATCTGCTTGTACTGAAATCTGTTTGAATCGAAGTCGCGAAAAAAAAAGAGTTTCCTGCAACAACAATATTACAAAGTCTGTGGGCCGGATCTATCAAAGGTTTGCGTGTATTAAAACGTGAGCTATTTCACTGCGCACGCTAAAAAATGTACAAACTGATCTATCAACAGCGTGCTAAAAGGATTTGGTCTTTAAAATGTGCTAAATAGCGCCTCTTATCCATTTAGTACTTTTTCTGCAATGAATATGCAATATGGGGCGTTTACACGCAAAAGTGCGTCTTGTGGGAGGAGAACATGTAAATATATTAATTTAGCACTCGCAAAGTGATTTATCAAACCTGAAAGCAATTTTGCTAACGCTATCTGACTCTATATTTAACACGTTTCAAAAGAAGGTGCAAATGGTCTGTATGCGTAATTGCGCACACATGGCAGCGGTTATTGTCGCAAGAAGGAGACATGGAAATGAAGCAAGGAGACGCAGAGAACGCATTTTTTCACTCCGTGTGAATATTTTTGGAATGAACGAGGAAACGATCATCAAAACATATCGTTTATCCAGCATTGCCATTTTGGAGCTGCAATTCCAGTGATTTGCTCCTCACAGAGCGTCAGCTGTACTTGTTCCTCAATGCTGGTCAGAGGCATCTCATCTACTGTGCCCCGTCCTGTTTTGTTCGCAGATGTTTTGTTATATGCCAGTTTTTCTTTGGTTCGCCTTCTAATATCCTGGTATCTTCTTTATACTTCATCCACTGTTCGCAAGGTTTCACCAACAGCGTTTTCTTTATTACAGATTTGTTCACATATATCGTTCCTCTGTGTGACAGTCACAATTTTTTGCTGTAGCTCACTTAAATGTTTGTTGGCTTCATCCACCAACACCTCCATTTCCATGGGGTCGAATTTCCTTTTGCGCTTTCTGCTGTCCAAACTCGTCATGCCGCAAACCACCAAACGCGCAAAACCATCATTTAAATAGGGCGTCTCCAACAGTTTTGCACCTGCCACCAGTTACGCAATCGCTCTTGTTAAATCACCCGCAAACCATGGTTCAGCCCCTCGCGCAAAATTCCAGTTTGCGAGCGCAAATTACCGCACGCAAAATTGGATCTTGATAAATCCGGCCCTGTGTATTAGTAAGTTACGGTTTAAAAGTTCAAATACCTTGAACAAGTAATGAAAAGGCAACATGGTATTGTTCCTTATCAAAAGACTCAATGAATAAGATGAAAAAAATCTAAGCTGCTACAGATGTGCAGGGAAGCTAAATAAAGTGATATTTAAGATCAAGTACTCTTTTAGCTGCAGATTTTAGTTTCTTTTAGTTGCTTAGCAAAGACACCTTATTTCTTTCTTCAGTGTCAAACAATGACAGAATATGCTCCAGTCCTGTTCAATCTTCCAACATCTTGGGAGGTTATTACTTAATCAATGACATCATCAAAAAGGAAATTAAGTTTTTTTGTTTTATGTTTTTTGGGAAATATGTGAAAAATTTGTTATGTGCAGTGTATTTATATTGTTTTTAAAAAAAAAACATTCACAGTAAATGTGCTGTATTTGAAATATGATCTTTATTTTAATCTTCAGAAACTTTCTTCCATTTTTAAAAACTTTCATTTAATTTTTTTACAACAGTCATTCTTTATTAGTATTTAAACATTTACTAGACAGTATAAAACACCAATGGAGGTGCTACATTTCTTCAGACAATTTTTTTCAAATGTACAACATGAAAATAAATTGTACACGTTAGAACCTAGACATTTTCTTTTTTTTTTTTTTATCACATTTAGAAAAAAGGGTGAAACTGAACAAAACAAGAGTAACTTACAAGGGAACCTTTATCATCAAACAGTCTGTATTTATACAAGAGAGTATAAAGAGTCAGACAATCAGTTTATTTAGAAGGATAGTCACTTTGACTGTCAGAGTTAGTAAAGTAAAACAACCATTAAAGACATTTACACAAATGATGGCAAATTTCTTTCGAATCTGGGTTTTGACAGTTGTGAAGAAAATTAATAATCCAAAACTGCAAAATGCCACTTGTCCACAATTTACTTAAATTAGGAAACTTTTAAAAGAAACATATTCTTTATACAAAGTGCAATATGTCCTGTAAACGCTCAGAATTTTTTTTACTGCAATTTTAGTTGTTATGACATCACACATTGGTGATCTCAATGCTGGAGTATCCATGGATCGGGCTTCCTTCAACTCTTGGGGGAGTGTGATCTCGAACTTCCCGAGGTAAGGAGCCAAAGCTGCTGTGACAACTCAGGTCCCGCCCTCCTCTGCTTTTTGGGCTAAACCCAATTGGAGGCTGAAGCAGGAAAAAAAAAAAAAAAGATCAGTGCAAATAAACGCGACCAAAGACAAATCCATATTTTTTCCCAAAGTTTCCTGCATCCCTTGCTGTAACCAAAACATTTGTTTGGTGGGTTTTATTTTTGATTTATACAACAATGTAAAAAAAATAAAATGAAAAAATAACTCCTTCAGTCAAACCAAAAATTATTTGCTTCAGATCAAATGTTGGAATTAAGAGAAGCACTTGTTTCTGAAATACACCTTGACAGCTCTCCGTCTTAGAGAGCCCTCGTCCTCACTGTGTCGGTTGTTAGTGCTGGGAGGCCGGGTCAGGGAGTTTTGGCGAAGGGGTGTTGGTGGAGTTACCACACCTGGATGATCATAGCTTTTTTGTGCATTTGCTCTACAGGGAAACATAGAAAGAAAAATGTGTCACCGATAGAAAGAAAACAGTATGAAAAGTAACATTAGCAGAGGGCAGCCTGCACCTTTGTACAGCCTGTACAAATAAACTGTCAACAGTTGTCATATGTGATCATACTGTTTATTAAATTTTAGCCGAAAACGGATATCCTGGAATAATTGGTTAAAAACAAGATTCTTATTCAGATTAGACAGATTAGAACAGTGGGCGAGGCAGTATGCATTATCTTCCAACTCCTTGTTGATAATCAAAATCAAACTCATATTTATTTATTATTTTAAATCTTTTTTTTTCCTATCAAATTCTTGATCAAATAATAACAATCATATAATAGAAAAATCATATTAACACAACATCAAGGATGAATTATAACAAAAACAGACACAGGAAAAAAATACGAGCAATGATTCACACTGGGTCCAACGGCAAGTAAACACTTGTGTTTTTAAAACAGACTTAAAAAACAAAGTTAAAGAAGCTTGTTTAATATTGGAAGGGAGTGTATTCCAGAGTGTCAGAGCCACAACTAAAAAAGCATCTCACCTTTAAGCTTTGTCCTCATTTTGAGGAAAACCAAAAACACCTGTTCTGATGATCTTAATGCCAAGTTGGGACACAAGGCTGAAGCAGGTCAGAAAAATAAAGAGGTGCAAGTCCATTAAGGGATTTATAGGTCAAGAGGAAGGTTTTAAATATATTATGTGATTCATAGGGAGCCAGTGAAAAGAGGATGAAACTAATGAAACATGGTCAGACCCTGTTGGCAGTCAAGCCACAGTATGAGACGTGAAAGCAGAACTGACTAACCCTGATATAAAGTGCAGGAGAAATTTCAAGGTGATTTTTTTTTATTATTAAGGCATAAACTTGCTCCTCTACGTCAGGTTTGGTTAGCGCTGATTTTAGATTAGATGTCTACCCCAACTGAAGAAAAAAAAACAAAAAACGTTCATTTAGACCAGAGATAAGGTTCAACAACACCGAGCTTCAATGACTAGAGCTATGGCTGAACTTCATGGCTTTAGTTTTTCCTTTGATAAAAGGAGTAAAAATGGAGTAGAAGTAAGACCTCCTGTTGTGAAATCAGAACACAGTCTTGTTTTTCTCTGCACAGAGTATAAGGCCACTTTATAAGAGACAACCTGCATTAAAAAGAACTGTAAGATGATGGTCACAGCAAGCTGAAGTAGCCGTGTAAGATTGTTTTGAGGCTACAGTCTGGAAAATACTGTTTCAGCCACACGGAGAGGACATCAATGCCATGACTGACTACATAACTTCTGTGTAGATAACATCATCCCTACCAGAACAGTGAAATGCTTCTCAAATAATGAACCATGGATCACAAGTGATTTGAAGTAACTCTGTGTGCTTAACAAGTAAACACAAGCCCTTAAGAAGGAAGACATGGAACTAAGGTGGACTATATAGAAGCAACTTAAGATCAAGATAAGAGAAAGCAAGGAGGCAACAAGGCAGAGACAGGAATACAAGCTCCAGCAGAACAATATCAGGTGAGGTATGAAGATGATCACAGGCTTCAAGCAAGAGGATGGTCAGACAGATGGAAGTCTGGAAAGAGCCAATAACCTGAATACATTCTTCAACAGGTTCAGTTCATGAACAAGCAGCATCTTGTTTTTCTAGAGACATGTCTGTCTCTAGAAGTAAAGTAAAGAGGCAACTGGAGAGACTGAATCGTAATAAGTCATCAGGCCTGATGATGTCAGCACCAGAGTCCTTACAGCCTGCATAGAGCAGCTCTGTGGGATTTCAGTAACAAAGAAGACTCAGCCAACAGTCCTCAGTGACTAAAGATCTGTTGACCTGACATCCCATATCATGAAGGACCTAGAGTGACTAAGACCTGCTTCAACATACCCACTGTTAGACAAGGCAAACAGCAGTGTGTGGATTATATTCGTCAACTGTCTAATCATGTAGACAGCAGCACAGGAGCACCACAGGGGACAATACTCTCACCATTCCTTTTTACTCTGTTCACCTCCGACTCCCAGTACCAGACAGAAATTCTGGAATTACTCTGCAGTCATTGGGTCGATCAAAGATGAACAAGAACGTGAGCATAGAGAGCTGGTGAACTGTTTTGTGTCATGATGTGTAAACAATCCTCTGATCATGAATTTCAATAAGACAATGGAGATGAATGTAGATTTCAGAAAAAAACAGGAACAAGTTGAAACCTATTAACATCAAAGGAAAAGCAGTAGATCTGCCTGAGGAGTATGAATACATTGTTCACCTGGACAATAAACTAGACTGGAGACATAACTGTGAAGCCATCTACAAGAAAGGACGGAGCGGATTGTACTTTCTAAGGAAGCTTAGGTATTTCAGCGTTGCAAGAAAAGATGCTGCATATCTTCAACAAGTCTGTTGTGGAGAGCTTGATCTCTTCTGCCATCATCTTCTGGGGTAACAGTATAAGAGATAATGACTTAACAAGTTCAACAAGCTAATTAAGCATGCCAGCTTTATTTTAGGAACTCCTCTATAACCTCTCGAGATTATTTCAAAATGAAGAATTCTTCATAATGTGAAGATCATTATGGACAACAGTGAGCATCCTTTTCGGAAGAGTTTTAAACAACAGTGTCTTCATTAAGAGGTTTCTCCAGATCATGTGCAAAACAAATCGATACAGAAGATCCTTCCTGCCCACAGCTATCAACACTTACAAAACCTGTTTAGAGAAATACTTATGAGTTACTGCAACATTTAATTTCCTATGGGATTAATAAAGTATTTTTGAATTGAATTGAACTCTAAAAATTTGAAGCTACCCAAACCTTGTAGGCGTTTAATAGAGGTACAATGGAACAGGGAGAACTAGCAGGACTTAGGGGAAGTCATCAGCAAAGTTGTGGGAAGCAAGACCATGCCTACCCACAAAATATTTCAAAGGCAGTAGACACAGAGAAAACACTATTTCATTCCAGAATTCCATTGCAGCTCCACTAACCTTACCCAGTGTTCTTATCAGGATAAAATAATATTATGAATAACAGTATCAAAAGCTCTGAACCTGTGTGATGTTTCATTATTGGACTTGGATTCATGGATTGTCCATAATGCAAACCATATTCAGGCATAAGGATGTCAATCTGTGCATTTAGCACCAGGACATCCTAAGCCAGAGGTTGATGATCAACTTTTTAGTCGTATCTTCTGACCTTCGGCCACGCCTTGGACACTCAGGTGTGGGGCAAAGCTGTGCACCGATTACCACATGGTGGTAAGCTGGTTAGGCTGGAAGAGGTGGAATCCGGACAGGCTCTGCAGGCCCAAGCAAGTAGTGAGAATCTGCTGGGAACGTCTGTTGCAGCCCTCAGTCATCAACGTCTTCAACCCCCACCTCAGTGAGAGCTTTTCCTAGATTTCGGGGAGGCTGGAGACATAGAGTCTGCCACGTTCCCTGCCTCCATTGTCAATAGGGCCACTTGTAACTGTGGCTGAATGGTCTGCGGTACCTGTTGTAGTGCCATTCCCCAAACCCAGAGGTGGACTGTGGCAGTAAGGCACGTGTCAAGCTGAAGGAAGATCCTATCAAACTTGGATGGCTTGTGGGACTTCTGAGGCAGCCAGTAGGTATCATAAAGCCAATCTTTAAAACAAAAATAAAAATCTTGCTGCTGCCCGGGTGTCACAGAGGGGAAAAAAATTGGGCCTAGGGGGAGTTAGGAGAGTACATGGATTAAGACTTTCAGTTGGCCATTCTGGAAACCGTCTGGTGCCTCTGAAGGGGAAAGTGCTTTGCTTACACTGTTTTCAGTGGGAGCGGGGAGCTGCTGACCCAGAAAGAGGAATTCATAGGATGGTGGAGGGAATACTTTGAGAATCTAATCAATCTGCCGCATTTGGTCATCCCCCAGACTGAAATTTCTGAGTTGGTCAAAAAACTCTACTGTGGCAAAGCTTCGTGGGTTAAATGTGCAAAGCTGCTGGGATGAGAATAAACTCCTGAAAGTCAAAAGCCATGGTTTTTGACTGGAAAAAAGTGACTTTTCCCCGTCAGGTTCCGAGAGAGTTCCTGCCTCAAGCGAAGGAGTTCAAGTATCTTGCGGTCCTGTTCAAGAGTGAGGGAGGATGTAGTGTGTTTTGGTGAAGAGAGAGATGAGGAAAAGGCAAAGCTCTTGATTTACCGGTTGGTAAACATTCCTAGCCTCATGTATGGTCATGAAATCTGGATCATGGCCGAAATAACAAGATCCCGGATAAAAGAGTCGGAAATGAGCTTTCTCACAGGGTACCTGGCACTCCCATAGAGATAGGGTGAGGAGTTTGGTCATGCGGCAGAGGCTCCAAGTAGAGTCCATTCTCTGTCCCATCGAAAGGAGCAAGCTGAGGTGGCCCGGACATTGTTTTTCGATGGCCCCTGGACTCCTTTCCTGGGAGATGTTCCAGGCATGTCCCACTGGAGGGAGCCCAACTCGACAACCCCGGACACTCTGGAAGGTGAATGTCTCTTTGCTAGCCTGGGAGCGCCTCAGGCTTCACCCCAGCAGAGCTGGAAGAGGTAGCTGCAGACAGGGAAGTCTGGGTGTCTTAGCTAAGACTGCTGCCCTCACAACCCTGTCCTGAATGAAGCAGACGACGACGAGTACTAGTCTGAAAAATTGCCTAGGATGAATAAGTACAAGGATCACAAACTGCTCTGCGTCAGTATAAGGCTCTGCGTCATTTGTTCTGAAACTTCTATTGATCATAGCGAATATAGAAGGTCCAATTAAAGTTAAAACACACGGAAAATATAAGCAAGGGAGCCTGAGGATAATAGATGACATATAATGTATTTCACAAGTGAGAGAGGTATAGGTATAAATGAATTGAAGACAGTTTAACAGGTGACAAAGATGGATGGATCAACCATAAAATCAGCGACACAATTGACTAAACTCTTTGAACAAAAGGCTTACACTCATCATAAGTATGCGATGAAACCTCCAAGCTGGCACACTGTGGCACATTTGAAATATATTTAATTGTGTTAAAAAGAACATGGAGATTTTTACAGTATAAGGCAATGATTTTAGGGAAATCATTACCTTTGTTTCCTTTTCCTTTCATTATGGTCTGATAAGATTACGCATATGGATGTTAAAATTCCCCCAAATTAAAATGTGGTTATTTGAACAGATTTTCTTTAAGGTTAGAAAATACAGTCAGAAAATGTCTGTTTAATTTAGATGCTAGTACATTTTCACACACAGGATCATCTTGGGGAAATCCAGCTCCTCAGAATGACGCAGCTCAACACTGAAACACTGAAAAGGAACTGGTCTGTACATTGCCTATTTAACTGCATCATGTGCTGTATATACATGTGCATTCGTTCCCACCTGGCTGAGCCAATCAGTGCCATCATCTCTTCCTCAAGGTGTCTGCGGACCATATGTTTGCTGCTGGGGATTCCCAATGCTGTAGCCATGGAGTCTGTGTTGAAAGTGGGGTCAAGTATCATAACAGCTCCGTGAACTCCACTACTCAGGAGGCTGTCAGCATATTCCTGGTGGCAGAAATTGAAAAAATAATATATTTGAATATCTTTTCTTTTAATTATAAGAACAAAGGTTTATGTGGACTATAGTCTTTTAAAAGCTTGTTTTGCAAGCAAGAACAAGGAGGATGTCATCTTACACATGTGGCTTTTCAAGTTAAAGTAGGGAAGGTAAATTTTAATCTCATTCTTATATTAAAGTATCTTGTTTTACTGACCTTGATAAACATATTTATTCATCTTTATGCTTATTGCAAATCAAGTTTGGCTTCAATAAGATTTACTATAGGTATTAAAGGTATTATCATGGCTTTCTTCTTTCAATCATTATCTCGTAATTCTCTCGTATCAAAGACTATTGATAAAATAACAAAAATGCCAAGAATGTAATCCAAATTATACAACTCAACTATTAAAGTATCAGAACATACAAAGAAGCTCTTTTGCTTCTCTGTCCAAATTGTCTCTGATAACTAAAATATTAAGCTAAGACTAACTGTTAAGATATAATCAACATCATTTAGGTGAATGACGTAAAGGTTTGTGATCCTTATACCTTTAGATTTTACTTTTAGTTATTGTCTTTAGGCCTAACACTTGCACTCCCTTCATTAGTGTGTTACTTGTCAAATAATGTTTTTAATCTGTCAGCAATTATGGATCCAGGTGTCAAATGGGTTATCTCTGTTTTGCACATCCTGATATTTTATTCAAGTTGAAAACTTATATCTGAAATTTGGTTTAAAAAAATCCTTCTTTTGCTCATCAGTACTTCTCAGACTTGCTAAAATCATATCCTCATTTCCTGAACCTTTAATAAACTACCAACTACTTTTAGCTGTCAGAAAAAAAATAACTGTAATTTGGGGATGAAGCTTTTTCAGCTATGACAACCAATTTTTGAAAAAGATGTCACCAAACTTTAAACAAGCTTTTAAATTTTTAAGTTTCTTATAAATATATTTATTTTCTTCCTTGTGTCTTTTTCTTGTTTCGTTTCCTTAAGCGGGGTCTGCAATAGCATTTCGTTGATGTTGTTTTTTGTGTGCTGCCACACCTTTAGGTCAATATCTTTGATCCATTTCATGACACGATGAGACGTCCAGACCAGAAGATCCTCATTCTGATGCTCACATTGTATCCGGCGAGCCTGCAGCACCTGGAATATTATTTTAACAAACGCCTTTTACCAAAGTGGAAGCTTTCGTTTAAGTTTTCGGCCTGAACACATCCAAGCAGATTCTCTGCTAGAGGATTTTTTCTGGCTCACCTCTTTGTTGAAATCCAGCGACTGCAGTAGTTCAATGCCCAATAGCAGGCTGACCTGATGGAACTTCTTGGTGATGTTGAGGTGACGTTCTAGATCACGGCGAGTCAAAGAGTTCAGCATGCGCCCATCCACCAGGTGAGTGTGAAAAGCCTGGGAGTACTGAGGCAATCCCACATCACTTAACCAAGCCTTGGCCACCCAGTGGTGATCCAAATCAGCAGCCTTTGAAAGCCTACCAACAGAAAATGTGGTTATTTATAGAGAAAATTGCAATATAGGTATTACAGATAGCATTTCCAAGACTAATATTCTAAAGAAATGCAGAGGGGCTTTTGTTCACTCCACAGGACTGAGAGATTCCTTTTAAGAGTTCCTAAACATTCTTTTAACCAGGAACTCTGCATATTCCAGCTTAGAAGGGCTTTGGTGTTTATCATCAGCCTCTAGTGCAACACTTCAATAATCACTTATTTCAGGTGGAACAGAAAATAGCCTTCATTTGTCATTTTGAGTTTTAAACCTATATTTGGTTAACTTTTTTCTCCATAGGGGAAAGGGATATCACAATATAAAAAGCTGATTCTGATTAGTGTCAGTTTCAAGGAAAAGACAAAAAAAGGGTTCATGTTTATACATTTAGGTTGCTTTACTGACAGCCAGTGTTGGGCAAGCTACTTGTCCAATGTAGTGAGCTAAGCTATCAGTTACTTAACAATAAATTAAGCATCACTACACAAAAGCTACCACCTAAATAATTATAGCAAGCTAAGTTACACTAATGTGTTAAAAGTAGCTTAACTACATCAGAAGCTACTTAATGTTGTACCAACCTAATATCAATTCAAAATGAGTCTGATACACTAGTTAAAATATTTATTAAAGATCAGCCAATGACATAACACAGTGTAAACATTGCTTTATGATCAGCATATTAAAATAAAAACTAAAGTAATTACTAGTAGACAAACTAGTAAACAATCTGCTGTTATTAGAACCAAATTAAAGGTACTGTGTATTGTTCTACACATGGAGACATGGCTATGAGTTTGCATTCAATGGACATCTCTAGCAGTGACGTGCGGTCAGGGGAGGCAGGTGAGGCAGTGCCTCACCAGCCATCATGGAAAGAAAGAAAATATATAATCATAAAGTAATTTAAATTGTTATATTCATCCGGTGGTTTGTACTAAAAAATATTAATTTTTCATGTAGCTTCACCAATTTCGATTTTTATTTGTTCAAAATCGCTGAATTTTCTTATTTTCCCATTCAAATGCTTGGAAGCGATGCCGGTGAGGCAGCAGCGAGCTCTGCCTCACCTTGGATTGCGCAACCCCTGGCTCTGCGCTGGCTGCAAAGCGGAGAGAGCATGTTGCTGTACGGCGTCAATAAAATGGTTTAAACAAATGTAATATGTGAACTTATTTCTAATAATTTGGCTTATGTATATAATGTACAGAGCTTTTTGTCACCAACTGTGTTTGTGTAACGTGTTTCGTGTAATGAGCGATTATAAACGGCAGAGAACAAGTTCGAGGTGAGGCAGGCAGTTCTCTTGCCTCATGGCAGGGGGTGCTCAAGAGACTGAAAACATAAGGCAGGAACAGGACGGATCAAGGAAGGCTTTCTTCCCTGGCAGTGATCTCCATTGAGACAGAGAGACTTTTAAAACTGAAGGAAGATAAGGAGGACTTCTATTCATTTATAAGTAAAGGTAAGACAGTAATAACATTTATTTTGTTTTGTTTTTTAAGGAAATGTGTGTTTTGTGAGCTACAGTTTGTATGTGTAAGGATGCAGAAGTGAAACATAACCTGTAAACTGCTGTCAATCTATGCATCTATTTGCAAATCTGATTCTGATGACGTCAGTGCCTCACCAGCTATGAACCTCACCGCACGTCACTGATCTCTAGGGAAAACGAAACCCTACAAAAGACCTCAATTAAACAGTTGATTCAAGTAGCAAACAAAACTGTTTACAAAAGAAGGTGAAAAAATAAAGAAGCTAATTAAGAGATACATATATATATATATATGTCTCACCATATAATTTAATTTCTACCTACATATTTATTCATTGTATTTTTGGAGGCAATAATTAAATGCTTATTTATTTATTTATTGAGCATTTATTTATTTATGTATTTATTTTATATACGGTAGAGCTGTTCCTCCATAAAAAATCTTATCTGTGCACAGCCTAAAAACAGATTTATGTAAACATCCTGTCAGGTAAACTAGGCCATGAAAATACAAAATCGAAGTTTCACTACTGCTCTCCAATTAGAGTATCTTAGTGGCACATAGATATGGGAGAATTATCCTGCCATAATGCAAGAGCACATAACTTCAATTAGAGAAAAGAATTTCATCTTCTTGCTCTCAAAACTTATAATGCTCACACTCAAAACATGCGCTCTCTCTCAAATATTTTCTCTTCTCTCTCAAATCTTTGTTTCTTCTCTCAGATTTAATGCTTCTTGCACAGATATTTTCTCCTCTCGCTCGCTTCCTTCTTTTCGCGCACAAACCGCGCTCTGTTTGAGTCTCAGATATGCTCGCAAACCCGTGGACTCTGCTTGCAGATTTGTTTTGATTGATTGTTTTGATCAAAACAATAACGTCGCTACAGGAAAGTTACTTGATAAATAAAGCAGCTACGTTCAAGCTACTGGAAAATGTAGTTAAACTAATAGCTTCGCTACATGTAGCGGCGCTACTGCCCATCACTGCTGACAGCTCAGTAATCCTCAAAAAAGGGAGTAAAGGAGCATCCTATTTTATTGTAATTTTAAAGAACTGACACCCATCTGTCAACATAATTAGTACTGACAAGAAACAGTGGCCAAATCACTGTAGTGGTAAATATCTAAAGTATGAAGTGGGTCTCATCCTGCCTGGGGAAAACTTCAGTTATTAAATAGAATATTTGAAAATGAACACAGTTCTTAGATGAAAGGCTTGTAGAGGTTTTTACTTTAAATCACCAACAGATGCCCCCCCGCACTATTATCTCCTATAATGATTAGTTTCTTTAAAAATGGTCTTTATAGCCATCCTTACTCTCTTCCATTTTCAGCATCTCTGTAATCCTCTATGGCCAGGCGGAGTTTTCGTCGGTGCATTAAACTGTTAACACCTAAACCTAGCTCCAGGTCTTCATCCGTTAGTCCCAGTAAAACCTGAAAATGTTCAAATGAATACATTACCATTCCTTGTCCTTCAGAGTCTCACAGTTTAAGATAAAGAGTGGGATAAAGATACAGCTGCTGTTACCTTTCCACTCTTAACATTTTCTGAGCAGGTGCGAATGTACATAGGCATTGCCATGACAACCTCCAGCCAGGCCTGCACAGTTCCTGCCTTCCACTGAGACATGGGGGTCGTCCTGGCCAGCTCCACTTGCTGGAGGCGATCCAGCTGGTCCTCTGACCCATCTGACAGGCTGAGGCGGGTGGTGCTGTAGATGCTGTCAGAGTCTGGGTGGGTGATGGGATGAGGTATAGATGGGTGATGTGGGTGAAGTTATGAGTGGAGGTAAGTTGTGGCAGTGAGTTTAGTGAGCAATGGTAAAAAAAAACAAAGTGTTACTGTACTGAAACAATTAGTTCAAAGTAAAAATCAGGCTTTTGAGAGAAAAAATATTTGTCTTTCTTGAAAAGCATTTACTTGGCAGATGTAATGCTGTGAAAAAGATGGAGATTTTATGAATAAGCAGCTGATTTAAAAAGTGCATTAATAGATCAGAAGTTTGAGCTTTTAAAAAAACATGACACATCCATATAAATAAGCCTAAACAAATGGCATCATTAGGAAAAGTAGGGTATTCTCATGCAACCTCTTTCTTTCTGCCTGATATTACATTACTACCCTGCTGGTACATTCTGTGTATGGAAAAATATCCCCTTTTACTTTGAAAAGCCTATCTGCAACTTAATCAAAACACACAAATTTAGATTTCATCACCATCTCGTGTTTGCAGGCCAAAATGAAAGTAAATTATCGCATTTCCCTTATTCTGACAGCAGGTGGCGACATCCGCATACTTCTTCATTTATTTCGTATCAGCAGAAGGTCTAGAAAGGTTGTAGCAGCAAATGATACTGATACAACATGACTCCTGTAATACCTTTGCAAATCTTTGCACTTTTATCATACTTCTCACTACAGCTATGCTGTTTCCCTTTGCCTGTGGCTGAACATTATCCATACTCATCAAGGCTAAAATAGTGAGGATGCTGGGAAGGCAATGAGCCTTGCATAAAGCATCCATCTTTTGGCTCAGTCATAATGTACAATTCAGAATCTTTGACCTTGCTGTTCTCTGCACATTCGGCATCCATTCTTTTTACATTTGTTAAAGAAAAGTAAAATTGAATAACATTGATATTCCATCTATATTGTGTACTTTGAAATTTAGCTTAAAAGAAGCCATAGAAAAGGGAAATGAAATAATGTTGCTCTTTTCTTGTTTTCTGTCATTATATATATATATATATATATATATATATATATATATATATATATATATATATATATATATATATGTGTGTGTGTGTGTGTGTGTGTGTGTGCGTGTTAATGGTTGTTTGTTTATCCTGCTTTTCTGTGTGTTGGACTGCCGACCTGTCCAGGGTGTACCCCACTAAACCTTTCAGAAAGTGGGTATGCTGGTAAGTGTTGAGAGACCTAAACAAACTGGAAAGCTGATCAGCTGCTGGATAGATAAGTTGACAGCAAAGCAGGCCCAAACCATGAAAGCACCTTTACTTTGTTTCCAAGGCCAAATACGGTTCAGTCTTTTATTCTCTGTAAAAACAATAGCTACTTTCCAGCAGCACACTGACTTGCCTATATAACCACAAATATATGGGGATGGAAACCAATGTAAATATGCAAAATATAGTACGCCTGATATATAAGCTTTTAGGTCTCCATAATTCAGGTTGTATAAACTAAAATCTCCCTAAAATATAGTTTCCAGCAATTTGTGTTGGTGCCTCACCTAAATAAACCTAAACCTAAGACATGATAAGACATGAGTATTTTTTTTTTGTCAAAGCAATAAATAAAGCAACAAGCACTCTCTCAAAAACAAACAATCTCAAGGTTGATACTACTCATAAATATCTAATACTATGTTGCTACAACTTGTCTTCTTCCTGCTTGTAATGGGCTATCACAGCCTAAATACAGAACAAAGAACCTTCCTAAATGGTTTCCAAGTTAGTTTATAACTGTTATAATCATTGTTGAAGAAAAAAATATATATGTTTGATGGGCTGCCTTTAAAATTTAAAATGAACAACTTACCAACTTTAGAAATGTAACAACTCACCATTCACTTTATTAAGTATACACTGACTGATAATGTTACTAATGAATGTGAAATAAAAAAGAAAAAAAACATAAAAAAACAGAGAATTTTGCAATTAGTGAAAAAAAAAACACTGTTGCTCTCAAAAGCAGAACTCACCATTGTTCTTACATAAACATCCTGATTTGATGGGGAAAAAAAGAAAAAACTTACTTCAACTTGAAGAAGTGCTAAAAGTCAGGTCAGTGTTTAATGTTGTTTAAGGGTTAGAAGACATCTGCCAACACAGTTTGCAACCCAGCACAACTGGAACTCATCTTTCTCTAACCTACTTGAGAGAGACTGGTTGCTTCTGGGGTCGCTTCACTGTGTTGAGAGTAAGATGGAAGTTTGACAAGAAGTGGTCAGAGGTTGAGATTAGTGGCCACATCAGTACACACCATTACTGACACCATGCACTCACATATAAGGTCTGGCATGGCCTTATCTTCCCTTGCCCATTTGTTTTGACAAAATTTTTGCAGCTCTTTGCAAAATAGAGAGAAGCTTTCCACCGAGAATAAAGAATTCAGAGAGGGAGCAGAGAAAAGAAGGCCATTTGAAGGCTGCTCGTTGCAGCTCCTCCAGTGATAAAAAGGGACAAATCAGAAAATACCATCACAAAAATCCATAGACATCAAAATACAGGAAAAAAGAGGACAGCCACGTGGAAATAATTATCATTTATTTCATTTTAAAATAATAGTATTTTTCTTCCTTGGTTCTTTTGAGCGTAACGTTGTTGCCATGCCTTTAAAAGTTGCTACAGTCCACTTCTAAATATCTCAGTTCCACACTGAGGCCTACATCTCTGACCTTAAATAAACTTTTCAATAATAATAATAATAATAATAATATATAATAATAACAATAATATTTCTGTAATGCTAATTTACAAAAAAGTTAAATTCTTTGTGGAAAAATAAAAACATACCGTGGCTCAGAATATGAAATTTTACAGTGCTGCATTTGATATGTTTTCCCCCCATCAGCAGTTATAAGTTGGTTAAATGAAAACATAGGAATGTCTGTATTTTCCTATACACTATTTAATAATGAATACATTGATTGGCTGAGTGTTTTCAATGAATACAGCTGAATATGTGATCATTATCTGCTTTTTTTGTTGTTTTTATAACCCTTAAATGTTACAGATTGTCAAACAAATTTCAATATCAGATCTGAGTACTTATAAAACGGCATTTTCACTTAGCCTTTTATTAAGGTAAAAAAAAAGCAACATCCAAATCAGACTGACGTTTTTCTAAATAGAATAGATTAACCTAATTCTTTTACTACTGACACCTTTAAGTCCAGCAAATGTTAAAAAAAAAAAAAAACGGCAGACAACAAGAAATTATCTAAAAAATTATAAAACACCAACAGTTGTTCCAATTTCAAGAGATTTAATTGATATCTATCAATCTAATAGGATAAAAAAAACTTTTTTGAAGCGTTGGGATTCCACCAATCACTGAGAGGTGAGCCAGACATATTTATTCCGATAACACCTTAATGACCCTTTGAATTACCTCATCTAATGCAATGCAGATATTGAGGGAAAAAAAATATTTAGACTGTTTAGATAAAAGTGGAAGGTACTGTATGCTTTTGATAGGTGTTTGCAATCTCAAATTAGTTGCTATTTCATGCATCCTACCATCATAACTTTTACAGTCAAACATGGTGGCAGTCCAACAATCTACTGATTTAATCTTAGGCCTTTTTTCTGTGTTAGGATATACACTAATTGCCTTTATTGATTTAACTAAAATATTGCTTTCTACCGGAAATTTGGAAGAAGAATGCCTGCTTATCAGGTTTTGACTTTAAAATTAAGAATCCTTATAAAGATCTGAAACAGACCAGCAAATCCACCTCTGAATGGCTAAAAATATTACAATTTTAGAGAGGAATGGTCAAGGTTAGAAATTAAATCAATTTGAAAGACTTTGAAAGCCTAAAAAGGCTACTTTATGCTAAAATGGAAGAAAAAAAAAACTATCCCATTTGACTGATTTACAACAATTTCACAGAAATTAGTTGTCCAAATTCTTTAGTGAAGTAAAAAAGAAATGTCAATTATCCGAATGTTTTGCCGTTCTTGTTGTTGCCAAGGGTAACGCAACTTGTAATTAGGTTTAATGGGCAATTTATTCCACACACAGGTTGTTTTAGCTACTTAATACATCTTAAAAATCTAAATCATGATTTCTATTATATTTAAAACCAATTTTTGTGTTCACCCGTTTTTCCTTTATCTGTCATTGAAATTTGTTTGATGACCTAAAACATTTAATTGTGACAAAAGAAGAAAAAAATAAAAAGAAAAACAAATAAAATAATCTGTAAGGCAGCACATACTTTTTCATAGCCCTAAGGGGGATAGTTAAAATATCAACTATGCCTGCAAAGTCTGGTAAAAACAGTTCCAATGCTGTCTCACACTCCTTTTAGTTGTTGGTGAAGAAAATTAATACCCAGTGATAGTTTAATGTCAGGGAGAGAAGAGATTTCCAGTGGGGGCAGTGCAGACTCCAATTTGATCCAGGATGAAAAGAATCCTGTGTCTCTGGACATTCTTTTGCTTGCAGAAAAGTAATTAACCTTTATCACACAGTTAATTGCTTTCCTCAGTTGTAGCTTAAACTCCAGAATTTTAAATGAACTCAGAGGATCACCTGGAAATCAATGCTTTTACTTTATTAGTATGCCTGAAACCTAAAATACAAACCTTCGGAGGTGAAACTCATCAATGGTAAAGCACCCTGTTTAATGTTTTTATCTACAGCTACTAATTTCAGATGAGCCCCTTTGCTATAATCCTCCCAGGGAAGCTTTTTGGAGTATTATGGCAATGATAGCTGTGAGCAACTACAGGATTGCACAGAAAGAAAATGTGAGAAAAAATATATGAAAAACTAAAACAGAGCTGTCTTTTTTTTCTAAATTAAATTTCACATGGCAACGTTGCTTGGGAATTGTTAAATAGGGTTCAATTTCATTTGGGGTGGATTTGTAAACTCTTACAAATAATAAAATCAACGAATTAAGAAGGTCGATGTTAAAATCAAAATTTTTATATCTATATTTGAAATCAGAGAAAACCATGATTACATATTATGAAATCAGTAACTGACCTCTCTTTTTAAAGCACCCTCTTCACAACATATGCAGGGAAAGAGTTTTTTTTTTTTTTATGAGGACTCAACATGCTTTGGGGGTCTGAGACCATTTGCATGCATGTCACACGTTAAGGTGTGTGCAGTGCCTTGCAAAGGGTTAAAGTGACATCACACTGGAAGCATACATGGTTTAATACTTTAATAAATAAAAAAATTGAAACTATGTAGCATGCAATGGCATTCATCGCACCCTAATCTATTACCCCCGAATAAAATTCATTGCAAATGAATGCCTGATGAAGTTCCCTCCGACATACAAAAAGTTTTGAATAAATCCAGCTATTCAGTCAAGACAGTAGAGGATAAATTGGGGACGTTAAGGATGAAGGACCATCAACATGGACACTATTAGGCACATGAAGTATAAAGTTGTGCAGAAGTTAGGCCATAAAATAATCATGAGATTTTAAGATGTCACAGAGCAATGCTGCGTCTGTAATCCACAAAATTAATATTGCACAACTGGATAGCAAAGGAGTTATTGAGAGAACCTGCAGAAATGCCTAGGGTAACTTTGGACGAGCACCAGAGATCTACATCCCAGACGGAACCCTGATGACAAGAAGCTCTGTTCCCTCATCTAATCTGACCTTAAGGGAACAGTGGCAAGATGAAAGACATTGTGAAAAGACAGGAAGAAGCCCATTTCCAATCAAATCGATCTGCTTAAATTTAGAGCTGTGTTGGCCTTTACATCAAATAGGCCAGGTTACAGAACCAATTTCATTCCAGAGAAAACTCTGGCTGAATCGTATCTGGCATTTTAAATCAGGGACATTGTTTAGGCACATCCAGTGCTTTAAATATAACCAGAACCATGAAGTGTTGAACCTGATAAATGTTCTATATCATGCTTTAATTTACTTTTAGTAAGATATATAATGAAATAATGCATTTAAAACTATGTGGGCATTACTATGACATGACGAAAATCACTTGCCTTCAAAGAGGAGTCACCCCTTTTTTTAACTCAACTATTAAAAAACATTATTTCATTAATTTATAAATTTACAAAATGAGGAAGATAAATCAAAGATGACATGAACACTTTGGCAAGGCACTGCACCTTCTATCTATGCAGATAGAAGTTTTCAGTTTGAAATCATCATGTTGTTGAGCATACAAAGTAAAATATATACTAAACAGCTTCTTTGCAATTAAAAAGTTTAAATCAGTGAGAATCCCTGAACAGTTTTCATTTTTTGGAGGAATAGGATAACTGACAGCCAAATTACTGTTTAAACTGAGGAGTCTGCATACGCCTACAGGAAACTGTTCTCATCATTGCTGTGTGAAGGAGGAGGGTTGGACCAAGCAGGACAAGAAACACATAAAAACAAGGGGAGCTTTGAGTTGTGAGGGGAGGGGATTACATGTCAAAATTAACAACAGGCAATTGGAACATGAAGACATTTACAAGCACAAAATGCACAACAACTGTTGTTATTTACAGATTGAAGCAGTCCTTCAAGTTTCCAGTTATTTGAAAACAAAAAAAGTCCAGAAGAAGATCAAATATAATAGCTTTAACAAAGCATGTCCACATTGTTGCTGTTTCTATTTACAGAACTGTACATACATACAGGTTCTATTTGATCAATAAGGGTTACACTTCACCGAAGCAAGACACATTTCCAGCTTCTGACATGGCTTCTGACCATAAATGGCACACCAATGCGCATGCCGACGCTCACACACACATGAACAGCACCCCTTCTGGTAAGACTGAACAGGCCCACATATATATTATATCTATATACTCCAACATCCATCCTTTCACACATTAAACACAAAGTGGTCCACAGGTGGTTCACTCAGAGAGCTGTGCTTTACCAGTCTGCATCCTCTTCTATGTAATAATCAGGTGTGGAAGTACCATCAAACAAACCAGGGTCCAGAGACTTGCGTTGCTTTCCCCGGGCAAAGACACGCGACAGCGAGCCCAACCCCATCTTTTCTTTCTTCTTCTTACGCTTCGCCTCCTCCAGATCTTCTAGGGACTGCAGGAGGAAAAAGAAAGAAGGAAGATGAATTGACAACCACAGACGGGGGATGTTCTAAGAGCTGAAGAGGTGCAAAAAGGGCAATACAGATCAGGGAGGAGATCAACGAGAGATGAACCCTTTCGTGCTGCTAGATATGCATCAATTTAACATCCAACTTTTTTTTTTCCCCCATAAAGATTCATGTCACGTCACTAAAGTAAGTTCACAACAGACTGCATGGGGCAAATTTGAACTCAGCCAAAAGGATGGTGAGGGAAAACAGCAGCAGCCATGCAATATAACAGTCAGCAGTTGCAACAATAGGAGGTGATTACTTGAGTGGGTGCAGTGGTGGGCAGCTCTTACATTGCAGAGGGAGTGAGTCCGGTGACGTGGCGAGTTTATGTCACTGGGTGTAGATGACCGATCTCCCTCCACTGCAGAAGCATCAGAGATGATGGAGGGCTGACGCGAGTGGATTGGGCTCACCCGCACAGCAGCCACTAAACAGGACAAGAGGGTAGAGAGGACAGGCTGGATTTGTCTCAGCTGTTGGGGGCCCCAGAGTTAGCAAATGAAAAAACTATAAATATGGTGGACCCTCAGTACTTAGAACAGCTCCATTAAATAAAAATGTGTTTAAAAATAAATACAGGACAAAAAAAGATATAGTTTTGCAAGCAGCTGCAGTTGCTTAGCAACAGAGAAAACAGCTTCACAGAGGTTTAGAGTGTGTGCCCAAACCAATGAGACTGATATATAAAGTACAGGCAATTGCAATGCAATTTAGAGTTCGTGACTGTTTCCACATCCTCCCTGTCTTTTACTGTTTGTCTGCGGCTTCTTTCAGATGTCCCCAATTAGTTAGCAACTAATATGTGGACCTATAGCTGCTGAACGGATTTCTGCGATGGAGGCTGCAGGGATAATTTATGAAGAGCTTTCCCTCTGAGGGTAGCAGAGAGCATTAGTTCACAGCAAAAAAGTAAATTCCTCTCTTTCTTGAACTGAGCAGGTAAATGCCACACTTTACCAATGAAATAAAGTAATAAAACACTTTATATATCGATTAAGAAAAAAAAACACTGTATTGTTTTATTTGAAATGCATTAAATCAAATGATCTTATTTTAAGGGCAAAAATACTAAATTTAATGGCAAATCATCTGGATTATGTGCTCAGATTAGGGGCAACACTGTGACTTTAAGAACAATTTAAGACAATTTCTGTTTTTGGTTTAATTGTTTTTTCTTCTTTGGTGTATTTTTAATGTCAAAAACTGTTGTTTAAAAGAACCCAACCTAAAACTTTTCTGAAAACTTCTGAATATGTTTGTGGCAATCCAACTACTGCTTTGTGACCTGGAGGGGCTGCTCAAGCTACATACAACACCCCCACGGTTGATGCTGCCCAACTTACATTAGGTATTAAGGAGAAGCTTCACTCAACCAGCAATATAGACTCTTATCTCTGTTTATAAGTTTGATATTGAAAATATTATAAACAATATGATTTTTATATAAAAACATATTATATAAATTATGATTTAAAACAAACAAAAAATCTCAGGTAAGAATGGAATCACTAGTAGTGTTTTTTTTTTGTTTTTTTTTTGTTTTTTTTACATACAAGTCAATGTTTGGAGTAAGAAAATGAATATAAGGTAGACAAGCACAGGATATGAATGACTCAAGGGACTGATTATGATCTATTTATAGATGTGTTCCTATAATCATGTAGAAAGACAATTTTAGTACATTGCTAATAATAGCATTTCTTTTTGTTGTTCTTCATAAAAAAATGATACTTCTTTAAAAAAAAAAAAAACACTAATATACTTTCAGTATGTTACCCTTGCCACAACTTCAAAAAGATAGGTGATATAGCCCTATATGATATGGAGTTATGCTTGGTTGCTTCCTTCAAGAAAATACCCAGATGGCCTTAAATCAGCATGGCAAACTGATTATAAATTTCTAATGTGGTTCTGCAACTTTTCAGCTCAGACAATATATTTACTGCTACCTTACCTTAGCTCCCTTTTTGTCATTATGTTGCTAACACTTCTACTGCAGAATAGCTATTTGCTACTGTTATTTAGAAAAATGTTTTCCCCCCTGACTGTTGCAGTGTATGCCAGTCAAATGCACAATTCTACACCACTGAGATGAATACTGAGCTGGAAATACTTAGTAACAAGTTCAAACCTAAAGCTATTTGCAGAAAATGTAATCAATAAATAAGAGAAATTATAAGAATTTGAAGTATTCCACTTTGGTATAACAACATATTGTACAGTAGATTTAACACGCAACTCATGTTTAGCTGCCACTTCAGAGGAAATAAAGTGCATGATTTAACACAGCTGGAACATAATCATACTAAGCAGATGGTAAGATTGAATGCTTAGAAACCAACTTCACATAAACATGCAGAGTGTAAGCAATGGGATAAGCATCTTGACATGTTCATGGCAAAAGTATAGCTTCCCCTCATGTTAACCCACCTTGTCTGTCAGTAGGATGGCCGGTGTGGACATAGAGGGTCTGCTGACTCTGCCTGATGGCGGCAGTCAGGGGAAGATCTGCCTGCATTACCCACTCCTGGTTGTTGCCGTTGACGACCGCCTCTGTGGGCATGGCCAAAGAGTGACGCTTGGGTACATCCTTTGTCAGGGTGGCAAGCGACTGTTTGGCCTTAAGGAGACACAAATGCACATGTTCATATTTCAAATCTTCATTCCACCACTCTCATTACTGAGCGTGATGGGGCTTCCCTGCCAGTATTATTATTATTATTTCTGTGTATGTTTACTCATGGAAATGTAATGCATCCAAAAAGCTACAGAATGTGTGATGCACATAGATATTTAAGGTTTGCTTCCTGGCTCATCATGAGGATGTTGTATCAAGAATAATCAGTCTGTAATACTTCATTCCCTTTCTTCTGTGAAAAAAAACCTCTCATTATCACTCCTGGGACTGGGACAAAATACAGTAATTCAACAAAAACACAAAGCAAAAGAGGAAAGAAATATTGGAGAGAAGTGTGAGGAATTTGTTGCCAAGAGTTTGAAAGCTGGAGGTTGGTGTTGTACAAAAATACAGAGAAAATTAAAAACAATTAAGCTTTTCTGTTAACTTAAATTAATACATTTGCTTTGAGGTGCTTTCAGACACAGCAATAAGCTTCTGCAGCCTTAGGAGATTTGTTTTTTTACCCCCCTAAATACATCAATACATTTTTTTCCTCCATCAGACTTTTATTTTGATTAGCTGTGACATGCTGCTGCTTAAAAATTGCTTCAAATAGCGTTATTGTGACAATCTTATTATCATGCGAAGCACTGCAGGCTGCAATTCATCATCACAATCAGCTTCACTGCAATCACGTGTGCTTTACTGGCAGTCAAACAATTATCAGTCGCAGTTTTTTGACATACTGAACAAAATAAAGTCACAAATGGTCAGGGCAATTAATGTATTTTGCACACAGCATTTCTTATGTTAGGATCACCAGGATCAGATACAGTGAGCTGGGGATTACAAAAAAAAACCCAAAAACATACATATGTGAAAAGAGGCTTCCTAGAAAATACAATTAGGTCACAGGTAGGGGAGATTTCCAGGGAGAATTGGGATCAAAAAGGGTGAGATTTATTTTCAAATTGTGGGCCTGTCTTACCGCCATGACCCTAGGAGAGTAGTCCCTGTCCGCAAGCCGCTCAAACACCCGGAACTCCATTCTCTGATTGACACAGTTACTCATCTGGGGGGTTGGAGACATGAGGAATGGCTATATTGCAAATTTAAAACTGTTTTTTTTTTTTCTTTAAAAAATTGTAGCATAAGTAAAACATTGTATGTGACAAAGCATCAATAAATAATTGTCAAACTAGTCTTCATGTACTGCTACTGTTTTTTAAACACTAACAGTTTGAGGAAAAAATAAATAAATGTGGTAGTAAAAACAATTGCATTGTTTAGTTACATTTTCTTAGTAATTGTTTGCCTTGCAGATAATAACATTACCTATTAAATTATATCCCTAGGCATGGACATCTCAAGGATATGGTGAAGAATTATGCAGTTCATTCAGTGGTTTTTATTTATTTACAAAATAAGTTGAACCAAAACTGTACAAGATGACCTTATGAAAATATATCTTAATGTAAGCTTTGTTGTTTTTTCTTAAATATACTGTATAATACTCAAACAAAATAGTAGCAATAAATCTGCTGCTTATATTATGAAACATTTTGTTCAGAGCAGTTATAATACTATCAAGAGAAATGATTTCCTTATAATTTATATTGTAATACACACACCTAAACATAAATAATAAATGAATTATATCTAGTATTTTTATATATTTACTCCCTTGCAGTAACTGTGTACTGAACATAGTACAATTCAAGAACCAGAACCTGGTGTTATTTGGTTAGTTAGACCATATTCTAAACTTTATCTTAAAACCTTTTTATTTATAGGGAGATGAAAGCATTAATTTACGGTTTCAAAAACCTAGTCCTTTAGACAATAACACTGAAAAATAAATCTAACATGATCAGAAATAACATTGCCAGACAACACATAAATTCCCTGATCTAACTGTCCTGCTAATGTGTGAACAACAGCATGATATGAAACCTAAATACAATATTTATTAAGGATCTAATAGAACACATACTGCAAGAACACCTCAAATATTATAAGTGAAAAAAAGACACTTGTCAGTTTTTGAGGTTTGTGATCAGATTCATTGACATAAGAGGTTTTTTATTAGTATAATAGGATGAATGATTGTTACAATGAACCCTCTTGAATAATAATAATAAACAGCTAATATATATGCCTTTAAAAATCCTAATAACTTTAGCTTGAATATAGTATTACTCCAGCAAGAGAGACAGGTGGCATTTTTTAACTTACCCGCCACAATTATTCACTTTGGATTTGGTTTTGTTAAGTAAATAAAAGTGAATTTGCCTTTTTCAAATCAGCTTTCCCACAACACTTAGCAGCAGGTGGGAGAGGGGCAGCAGTTTGTTTTGTCTGCACTGCACTCAGCAACTGAGTATCTCCTCAAACTTTTAACATTTGTACCAAGAAACAGCAGATGCTTAAGAATCTTTTACAATCTAATATAGAGTCCTGGTTCTTTTCTGAACAGAAGGACAAATAACTAAATTGATCACAAAAAAGCTCCACAGTGAAGGATATTTTTCTTTTCACATAACTTTAAGACATTTTTACACTACTTTCAAAGAGTCAATTAGCTACTCTGTGTAATAATCTAGAAAATAAGAATTATAATTTGGCAAAGCTACCACATTAATCTTCCATTTACACTATTTTTATATAAAGGAATCTACTTAAAAAATATTATTTTAAATAATGTAGCAAGAATTACAGATGCTGTCAAGAGAAACCCAAATAAATAAACCTTTTTGTGGTAAATAGTTTGAAACCTGACCACACCTTCAACTTGTTTTGCCTGGAATATTCTTTGAATAACCCCCCCCCCTGTCTGGCCTTCAGTCTCACCATAGCGAGTTCAGCCTCCAGCTCCTTGATGCGGTTCTCCTTGAGGTCAAGCTGAGAGCGTAACATCCCTGTGTGCTCCGTGGCCTCCTTGGTCTGCCGTCTCAGGTCCCACTTCTCTCTCTCCAGGAGGTCTTTCTCCTTGGCCAGAGCCTTTACCGCGTCCTCGCTCTCCTAGCAGACACACAAATCCTGATGGGTTGGATCACATATACGGCCCTAATGCATGTAAAGACTATGGAGTGGAAAATAGCATTTATATTTTCCTTTTATTGGGTCTTCATAACATATTAACTGCATGTTATGTATTGTTTAGCTGCTGGCTCCACACAAAGAATAGTACAATCATTCATATTTACACTCCCACTTCAGGCTCTTTTTAAATATTCCCATCCACATAGTCAGGACTCGCAGGTTTCTTAGTCAGATCATCATCGATGCAAAAGCATTTCGCATTTTTGCCGATTGAATGACAAAAAGCTGCAGCAGCAAAAGCTGAAGGCAAGTTTTTATTTTAAACATTCGATCTTTCAGCTTAAAAACAACCGAAAAATTTGATAAAACAACTTTAATTCAGTGGCACTCAATTTCTTTTTTGTTTGTTTTTAATCACTTTTGAAAGAAGGACCAAATTAGGAACCTTGCTCTAGGCAACATGAGCTAAACAGTAAAAAAATACCCTCCTTTCCAACAAACACATTAGGCAAACATCTCTAGAAAATGGCAGGAATGACAAAGTATTATCATTTTGAAGAAGATATGTAGCTAAACTGGATTCAAAATTCAATCCATTCCAATAGAATTAATTCATTAAGCACATTCAGAAACAAAAAAATTATTGAAACAAAAGAATAAAATACAGTAAAATTAAAAAAGACATTAAAGTCTAATGAAAAAAAAACATACAGAAATTAACAACAAACCAATGCTATGTTTAACGATAAGGAAATAAAAAATATCTTCAGAAAAGGATAAAGAAGAGTGATAAAGCCTGCTTTACACGCACCACCTGAAGCATGATTTTTTTTTCTCACTCTCATAGCTGCAAGAACAAAATTATGTTGTTTATGTCTAGCAGCCGTCTCTTTTGTCAGATGGTTAAAAACAGCAGAACTAAAGTGGAGAGCGTCTATGAAAGAGTCGGAATCCAGTTAACGGAACTTTTTCAACAAAAGAAAAAATAAAAGATTTCAGTTGAAGATTCCAAGCTAACAGACTGTGGCATATTAGGGTGTTTATAGTGTTAAAAGACAATGAGACTAAATTATGAACTCATTCAATTAATGGCATTCATTGAATATGTTAATTTCTTTTATTGAACAGGGAAATTAACGGATCAGATTTGAAGTAATCAACATAAACGAGAGCGACGTTCACTCTCAGAATAATGAGTGACGTCAGGTCTTACGGGACTTAAAACAGCAAAATGCATGACAGACCAGCATGTCTACTACTAGTACTAGTCTGCACCATTCAGACTCATCTAGTGGTATTTCTGATGCCAGTCTTGCAGAGCCCTGGGCAGAGGTTTGTGAACCAACAAAAGAAGACCCGGACAGTAAAAACTCACGTTTTTGAGCAATCTGTGCCCACTGGGACTAAACAAAAAAGTCCATACGTCGGCCATGTCCACTTCAAATTTAAAGCGACACATCCGGTTAAAGAATCCGAGCTGTCTTGGAAAATATCTGCTACTGATTGAGGAATTTAAGAAATCATTTTTATACAGATCTTTTCAGCAGAACCTGAAAGTACCTGTATGTTTCTGAAGTTCTCTGTAACTTAGTATACAGTATATCTTGACGGTATTGAGTATTTTCCATTTCTTTCTATACACATTTAAAGGGTGTAATATAATGTGCTATTCCGTAGGATTGTGGCTTTATTAACCAAATTAACTTGAACTAGTCTATTTTTAGGTTTGTGAACTTAGTTCATTTTTGAAAAAGTGAACTATGAACGTGAGCTAGTTCATTTTCATCTGTGTGAACTGAATGTTGAGCTTGTTCTTTTTAACTATTAACTGGCACAAAGTTCCCTGAGACAAAGTTTCCTTTTCAATTTTAGTTTAATGGACTGGAATCCCCATGATGTAGTGGACCATAACTTCCAAGCTGTGGACTAGGGATTGAATGCTGGTTGTTGGATTGGCATAAAAAAACTTTCTGTCTGACAAGCAAGTCTTTTTTAAATGTGTTCTCTTATTTTTCCAGACTGTAAAACACATTAAATTGTCTTATTTATGACATTTCTTAGACAAAATACCGTTGCTTGTTTTTTCAGGAGAAATGTCAAGCTCAACACACAAGGTTGTTATGAGTATGCCATACTTTTCTGTGCTGCTCATAGTTGCGGATGAAGTCACGGAGCTGCTCCTCCCGGCTCTCCAGTGTGGCATACAGCTGCTGCATCTGGTTCATCAGGTCAGCCTTTTCTGCCTTTAGACGTTTGCGATCTGACTTCATGGCTGCATAAAAAACAGGAGAAAATATGACGTGAACAGAAATGTTGCTACACCAAAAATACTTAAAATTTTTGGAACTTTGTTACCTTTAGACTTTACAGTTCATTAACATTTCATAAAATGATTAATATTTTTCATAACTGTTTTTATTGTGTAAACCATCACAAACCATGAGGTTTTCAAAAAGAAAAAAGCATATGATAAAGTCTAAAATATGACCAAAAGCTATATAAAAGAGATATTATTTTCTTCTTTTTGTCCTCATCTATGGAACAGTCATAGATGTCAAACATATATTTATTTTTACAGTACTGTTTCCATTAAATTCAGCGATTGTAGTACACTCTCCCAATCCTATAATACGTCATATTATACCTCAAAGCAGGCAGGGGGCTGTAACTCCCCATTTGCCATTACTCTCAACTAAGTTTGAACCTTCAGATATTGAGCGTGAGTAAAAACCTGCCATTAGCCCAACATACCGCATGTTGATAAAGAGGTGAACTACGCATGAGTCTCTCTGTCAATCTTTCCCTTCAGCTACTGCCTTTGTAAGAGCCTACAAGCTGAATTCATCTATCTCTGTGCCACACGCAGTCTGTAATCCTTTGGCACCGCACCCACGCATCATCATAAAAAATTACAGTTCACAGTGCTTATTCAGAGAAGCGCTAATTTTCTCAAAGACTACATCTCCTTCTCTCCTCCGCATCGCCCTTCTTTTGTTGCTTTCTCTTCATCTGCCTCCTCTTGCACAGCTGTTTAGCCAGATTGTTAAAACTTATTTCCCTCCCATCCACAATAACCATATTTGGCTGATTTATAGTTTTCATGTAAGATTTATATTTTGTCTTCACTTGCACATCTGGTGTCTCAAAGCAAAACAGGGGGCACTTTTAATTTATAACAGCAGTTTTTTTGCTTTTTTTTCATTTATGCTCATTTTCTCTCTTTCATCATTCTTGCCAAGAGTGTTGTTATGAATCAAACATCAAATCCTGCCAAAAAATGAAATTGTACAAACAAGTTTTGTCTCAGATCCATTATCAGGTAAGTGAAGCAGAAAGCAGGTTTTTTAAGAAGATTATGTTTCCCACAACTCTTTCATATCTCTCACCGACACTCACTCTAAATGGTGGAATCTAGCACCATGAGCAGGGCAGACTATTTGGCAAATGAAGACAAAAACCATCCCTCACTGAAAAACAGGAATCCTCACAGCACCTGCCTTGGGAAATGAAAGCTGTCTTTGGGATGAGCCAAAAACTCTGCCGCTACCGCCTCACATCCTGCACCTGTGACTGCTTGGCAACAACAACGCCCCCTGAGTTCAATGCGAAAAAAGAACACACTGCGACTCTATGAATGGATCCATTCACTGCTGCAAATCAAACAACCATTAGATACCAATTAAATTCTGTCAATAAACACTTATTTTGCTTGACGTTGCTCAGGAGTGGAGTCCTTTATTAAAAGGGTCGAGATGCAGAAGCTTGTTAAACTGTCTTTCATCTGAAAGCTTTAATAACAGCTAGCATGCACTGGAATTTAGTCCCAGTTTTCAGGAAATGCCACCAGAGTAAACTAGCTGGGGACGACGTGCAGCTGAGGCTAATGTGTCTGGACACAGAAGAAGGCTGCAAAGGGAATAAAAAGTAGAAAGCAGAGATTCATGCACCTGCTCTCTATGTTACTGCAAACTCCATTAACCAAGGATACCAACAGTTTGGTAACAAGAGTGGAAAAATGTCTTGAAGTGGTAAAGCAAGGCCACCGCGGCCAGGTAGGAGACATTGAAAGCACAGCATTGGTTAGATTAGATAGACATTGGGTAAATGGTACTTTTGGTTGCCAATAAGCAAAAGACTGTGTGCCTGAAAATGAGTAACCCCTCATCCCCATCGAAGGGATGCTTTTTCTCAGGAAGGACAAGGAAGCTGGTCAGAGATTATGTGGGATGAATGAAGGACATCAAAAGGCTAAATTGGCTAAAAAAATCTCAAATACTGTGGAAAGGTTCACATTTCAGCAAGATCACGTTAACATTCAGAAAAAATCAAATGTAGGCCAAAATTTTTTAGATTTTCATCTTTAAAAAAAAAATTATCATGCTTGTGATCTTTGCTGATCAGGTGCTAAAGTCTAATTCTATCACATGGAATCCTGTACACACCAACCCCTCTTCAGTCTACCTTCTCACTGCTTATCCAGGTCTGTATTTTCATGCAGCTGGTTTCCTGTTTCTTTGGCATATGCAGTGTTCTTTGAGGATATGAGTCTGTTTGTGCACTGGACCACCCTGTAAAAACCATCATTCTAGCTTGATTTCATACCAGATGAAGCATCTTTTTTCTATTTATGACAACTTCATTTCCGCACATTGAGTTTAGGTGTTTCCATGTGTTTCCATGTTTCATATTTCTACAGTTCTGATTCCCATGTATTTCAAGGTGTGCTTGAAACAAACATATTTAAGATAAAACGGACTTAAATGGTTTAAATTAACTGATCAGATTAGATCAATTTACAGCTTAAGACAATCAGATATTTTGTAAAATAAACATAATTTATTACAACAATTTCAAAACAATTACAGGCCCAGTAGAGCAAAATATTCAAGTTTTATTATAAATAGATAAATAAATCATTATCTTCGCCTTTCCTCTGCTTGAGTCCGATAAAAAAAAAGAAGAGAAATGCAGCTTTCTTCAAACCTGAGGCCAAATGCTACTTTCTCCTAAAAATAGTCAAAGTTACAGCCCTTGCAACACAACACTCTCTAAAGTTTACCTGCTCATGTTACTCAATGTTAGCAAATAGACTGTGCTGTATCGTGCTCTCCTGACCTGCTCCCAGAAATCTGCATAAGTGGTTATCAGCTCGCTGCACAAAGGCCCCTCTGCTACCAAATCCAAAGTGCTTTGAAGTATTTTAATGTGAGCCTCCAGTATTCTAGTGCACTAAAAGCTTTTGTCCATGGCACTCCTGCATAAAGCTTTGCTGCTGGAGAACTTAATAAATGAGCCAACTCATTAGTTACTGCAACGATGGCTTGTTCACCACTCTGTCAGTTTTAAAAAGAAGTTTAAGCAGTGGCTTAAATTTTTTTGTAAGAAAACTCAAAAATACAGGCTATTAAAAAACTGTGCAGCAACATGGAACATTATTGGACGTGTTTACAGAGGTTCAGTGTACAAACCCAATTCACAGTTCAATAAACAATTTCTAGGTTTCATAGGCGCTGAAACATTTAAACTATAGAGCTGGGACTTTAACAAATTCATTTATTTATTACAAATGTATTATAAATTTTATTTAATATATTTTCTTATGGGAGAGGAAGTCTAGAATTATTTATCTTTTCATTTTATTAACAGTAGGCTATAGGAGACCCTGTGCACGCGACCCATTGGTTTACTTTTTAGAAATCTCTCACTGTCCTCCACAGCTAAGCCCTCAGTCTCCACCCCTCCAATCCCCTCCCCGTTCAACCTAAAAACCTCACCAAAGAAGGAAGGCAATTAGATGAGTTTCATTGAAACAATATTTTAAGTCTCTGGCGCTTAGGCCTCTGCGGGGTACATTAACATTGACATTTACACCGAGTATATGCATGAGCTGCTGAATGAGAACAGGGACGAAGACCCCCCAGCCTGGAAGTATTGGTAGAAAAAGAGATGGAATTACAATGAATGGCAGTTGGAACAAGGTGCAGGTTGGTATGAACCTCCATGATAAACCAGTATGAAGAGAAAAAAACTCTCCTTTGGAAGAAATTTCTGGCAGAACCAAGAACCAGCTGAAGATGTTAGAATTAGCAGAATTAATTAAGAAGAAAGATTTGTTTCTGTCTGCTGGTAAAACTTTCACCATAACAACAGCATAACAGAGTTAGACTATGATTTTTTTTTTTTTTTCTGCTGACTGAAAACTGCTTCCCAATTTGTCAAACTGTTGGACATAGCTTTCTTCCCAGCCTTGATACCAAACAAATATCTACAGAAAAAAAGACTGGACTCTCAGCTCCAGAGTAATTTTCCATCTTCATTACCTCAAAGGAATATTTTTAGTGTTTAAATTTATGGTTGGAATAATTGTTTTGCAGAAAATATTCAGTTCCATCTAGATCACAGTGCAGCAGTCCTGAAATCACTGCACTAGCCCTTAGTTTATAAAATTAAAAGATCTAAAACCGTGTAGACAATAATGCTGAATGATCTTGGACTGAAATGTGTGTTTTTGTAGTTATAAGCCATATAGATTCGTCTTATCAACAGAAAACTGAATGAAACAAACAAACAAATAAATAAACTCTTTACTAAATGTTCCCAGGAACAGAAGTAAGAGCGGCAACGTTAAAATGGTCTTCAGCTCTCTAATTAACTTCCTGAAAAACCCTGAGATGTGAGAAAGCAGCTGTCTCCTTTGAAAGTTTAAATCCTTCATGTTTTTGTGTACGGTGAAATAGAGCCTCACCATTTAATTAAGTCCATGTTGTGTTTATTTTAAAAGTTATGGTATTCTCTTTTCTTAAGCTAATATGAGTATGTATCTTGTTACATTTTTTTTAAATATCTGTCTCTTTGTAATCTTTAAATAACTCTGTATGTAAAGGGGCTTTATATATAAACTTTCCCACCATAATCTTGGAGGAATGTTATTCCAGAACATCTTGTTGTATGTATAAATATTCATAAAGGATGAGGTGTTTTGGTTTGAGACAATATATTGTTCCAAAAGGTACAGTCATTTTTATACTTATAGGAAAAAAAAATCATGGTTTTATTCAAAAGCATAGGAAATTCCTGCTTCAAGGTTGTTGTTAAGAAACAAAACAAGATAAACTTTGAATTAAAAAAAACAGCCTTGTCAGAATAAGATCAAGTGTTATAACCCAATTTCTTAGTCCAGCTCTATAGAGATGAAAATTCATCAATTTTGTCTCCAGATAGACTTTCTGACCAGTTTCAGAAACATCTTTTCTACAGTTTTTGAGAAATGTA